TTTCACTCACTGAACTATAAACCTCAGACTTTTATTTTTAATACATATTTTCATGTAAATTATGTGAAGATTAAGTAGTTTCAGTTACTTTATAATTACCCAATGGCCTTAATATAGTGAACACATATATTTTTAGCAGCTAACGTGCTGAAGTCAAGAGCAAGGATAGTGATAATTAAAAAAAAAAGAGATTTAAAATTAATGGGGATCTGGTACTGCTTCTAAATTTTCAAGTATAAATTAAAGATTAAGAAATAGCCAGGCATGGCAGCACAGACCTACAATTCTAGCATTCTGCCTGGGCAACTTCGTGATTTAGGGAGATCCTTTCTCAAAATAAAAAATAAAAAGGGCTGAGAGTGTACCTCAGTGCCAAGGCTTTGGGTTCAATCCCCAGTATCAATCAATCAGTCAGTCAATCAATCAATCAATGCAGAGGGTGCAGGTATAATAATTCTTATTCTAGTTCCCAAATTAAAACTCCTGACTCTTGCTAGGAAAATATGTCTTATTTCTGAATATGCAGTGTCCCATATGTTTTTCTGTAGAGCTTATCTGGATGTTAACATAGTAAATTTCCTATCTTGCAGCCATAAAAATATATATGAACTCCTTATGAAAAGAGCTTTTAGTAAGTAGTAAATTGAGCAAGTCAATATTTAGTCTCAGACTTGACATCCTTTTCAGTTGTAATGTAACAGAGATGTTGATATTAGCGTACGAATATATGAAGTATATTAATTCAGTTTCTCTTACCTTCCTCTACTTTTTCTTTATAGTTTATCTCATCCCCTAACATACTGCATATTAACTTATTTGTATTGTCTGCCTCCTCCCACTAGAATCTAAGCTCCATGAGGATAAGTATTGCTGCATATTTTGTTTAGTTCCTATCCCAAACAGTGTTTGGCACTGGGGTGCTTGAAATATATTTAATGAATGAATGAATGAATGAATGCATGAATGACTATGAAAATTCCTACAAATGATTCAGAATAAAATATATACAATAATACTATGCTTGATCATTGCTAGATCTTTTCATCTTAAATTGTGTTACATAGATTCTTGCATCTGAGAGGTCAAATAACATGTTTTAAGCCACCGAGTATCGATTATGAAAGTTTTTAATGGGGGATGGTATTAATTGATTTGATTATGAGCAGAAAAAGAAAACCAGCCTTTAAGGTCCTATGTACAAAAATTCTTGAATCTACAATTCAAGAAAAAAATAAAGGCATGTTTATAGAAAATTATACAATTCACTGTAAAATAAGATGCCTTTCCAGAAAAGTAAACTTTATATTAATAAAATATATATCTTCAAAGAATTAGATCTAAAATATGTATCTGTAGAACGCAACAGTGGTGGGGAGACTAACATACAGAGGTTTTGTCAACACTAAATATACAATACCAGCAAAATGCACTTATTCTGAGCATCTATTAATCAGTAACAGGGAGAAATCTATTTGCCCCTGAATTAGTAATTAAAGTGGAACTAATTACCATTTTATAAAAAAATACATCAAAAGGTATTTGATCCATGTATCACTGTTATTTTTGCCATAAAGAATTGAATGTGTCCACTACCTAGTTGCTGATCTAATGTCAAGCTATCCTTTCCGACAACTGTAGTGACCCTCAGCCCTTTATCACTGTTACATGGTCAGTTTGCATCCCTGCTGCACTGAACAACAGACAGGACACCGAAGTGTGACCCTTGGAAGAACAGAGTAAATTTCCTAAAGGAATACATGTAGGATACAATGCTTCTAAGATTTTTTCAGTCAATTAGGAAATTAAAATACAGCAGTCAGAAGGTCTATTACTTCATTCTCTACTAGAACGCCATCTTTTACCATGAACAACACTATAAGAAAAAAATTAAGTCTTAGAAAAGGTCTACTTGAAAAAATTAGATTATGATTGACCTAAATTTTTTCTAGATATGTCAGCTGTTAAAAAGATTTACTCCATCTAATTTCATTATGTTAATATCATTATATAAACAGCATGTACAAATATTGGTATGTTATAGCTATATAACGTTTAAATTATAATGCTACAATGTATACTTAAAAGGGCAAACAGGTATATGGCAATATTTATAAGACTATGAAATTATAATCTACAAATAACTGTAAAACCTGAAGAATTCAACGGAGAAAGTACATTTCTTATGTATACTGTACAATATTTTTAAAATGTAGAATACATGTCAATATTTTCCTGCATAACAATATTAATCCACCAAAATGGCTACCACAGCTGTGATATATAATTTGAAATATAATAATTAAAAGAAAGAATTTGATGAACCTGAAGAGAGAACATTAAGTAAATCTCAGTGTGTACGTTGACCACCGTACACTGGCATTACCTTGTAGAGCCGATCAATAGAGATTCACTTTAAAAAGAGATATAGAAAGAAGCTGCAGCATATTTTTTAAATGACAAGGTGAAGGTTTAAATCATCTCAATCAAGACTCAATTTTTTTCCTCCCAGTTTTTCCAGCTGTTCTCTTTCAGTTAAGACTCTTCATCTCAAATAAATTTCATTAGTTCCAATTGATCATAGGCAACACTTACACAGCTTCGTCCACACTACTTTACTTTTATAAGGCAACATCACCAAAGACAGCTAGGATCTGATTCAAGTGTCCTAACACTCATACTTCATACATCCTCACCCAAAGAAAAATTTCAGAAAAAACTACTCTGCATTTAGCAAATGCATTGTATTTCACATTTTATTGTTATCTTGGTCAGACTGTTTCTAAGAATTAAGTCCCAGATTACTGCAAAAAATAAAACTAATATAGTAATACATATTAGCCTAAATATAGCTTCCAAATAAGAATTCACTCAAAATAACTACTACAATTTAATTTAGAATTATTTTATGAAGAGATATTATTAGGACAATCCCTTTTAAATGTCTGAAAAAATTAATTAAATTTTTCAAAGGGAATGGCTAACCAGGCCAGCTTTTCCTTCTGCAATACTAATACTCTATAATACTGGCTATCCTAAAATAAGATTATTGTGTTTGAAACAGGTTTCTTTCAATCCACTGACCATATTTTTCATAATGCAATTTATACAAGGTTCCAGTCAATAACAAGAAATATGATTTTCTTCTAAACCTTCACAAAAATCTATAGCACAGCTTAATCAAGCCACACAATCTAAAGGTAACTTGAACGATCTACAGACTGCAGCATGCTAGTTGCTTTGACAACACGTTAAGGCAGCCTTTTAGTTATTTAAATTCTTTGGATATTGAACATTCTTGTTTTTTGTACTCATGGCATGAAATGAATACATCAACTGACAAAAGCCATTCATCACACATGTTTAACCAAATGTCTTAGAGATTAAAACATAGTGCATGTAGTATTCACTCTCCAAACTAGACTTGAATTTTTAACCTCCTTGATTTTGTTAACAATAAACTAAGAATGCTATATATAATGTGATCTCATAAATTTGGTAGTACATAATTCAAACTTCTTAATTAATTTAAGTAATTAATACTAACTTGACTGCTCAAATATTCAGCTTTTATTTCAGAATATAATTGAATTTGACAATGAGTTACACAACTAATTTTTATCAACTAAAATGTCTAATTTTACAGGGAACTAAAATATAAGAACATATAACAACAGAAAAATGAATAAAAACAAGAGATTAGAAAATGGGCTGCAAATGAAATGAATGTCCTTAAATAGCTACTAAAATAAATTGTGTAGTTGTAAGGTGCTAAATCATTTGAGAAGGGTTGAAGGTTCCTGAAATCATTTATACTTAAATTGGATATTTTTCATTAAACAACTTCTATATCACAAAGAATTAAAAAGTAACAAGTAATAGCCACCACTACAAGGTTTCCCTTTTTAAAACATGAAATATGGTCCAAAGCTTTTAAGACCTTTGACTTACTGGATGCAAATACAACTCATTAATACATAATGATAGTGGTTATTCAACACCTTTATCAAAAGATGTTGCCCCACTCAGGCAATACTTATTTTGTAGCACAGAGCTATTACTTTTTTAATGCAGGCTTTGCAAGTTTTCAAAGGATATAATTAGGTCTTAAACTTCTTTCTCAAGAAAAAAAAGTTCAAGGCACTTAAGTGGTAATAGTAAAAAACAGATCATACATGTTTAAAAATTTTTTTTAATTTAAAAAAAATTTTCCCTTTAACTTTGTTACAAATTTGACTTATATTACCTGCACATGCTTTTTTAAAAAATGTTACTACCATTATTTTAATATATTGCTTTACAATACTTAGAAATTTTAATCAGACTTTAGTTATTAGCCATGTATACCAAAAAAGATTCTAACACTTAATGTCAATAAAATTATATAGGTCTTTTTAAAGTCTTGTGTGCATACAAAGAAACTTAGCTGAGTGAATGCAGAAATTTTGTAATTAAAAATAAAATTTGTAAAAAGGCAGGCTAAACATACTCCATATGTGGGCTTCCTAAAATTGACTATTAGGCCTGATAAATAATGACATACACAGGTAAAAATGTTCAATATCCACACACAGTAAATAGATTTAAAAAGCAGCATTGAAGTTTATTGTACAAAGATGACCTGTAATTTTCCTCGTGTCACTTATACTGCTGCTATTACAACTACAATATTCTTGTGTTTGCCTTGTAATTACATCTTTGATAAACTAATGAATGTATTCCTCTATATGTTCCAAAGCTTTAATAATGCTCCAGTTTCCGAATTAAAAGGTCTCAAATGCACAGCTAGCAGCAATGAGTGAACCCAGACCAAATAAGCAGTTACACGCTTCACCTCAAGATCAAAAAGGATATTAAAGAGACTGATAAAACTAAAAACACCATCAATGTAAGTTTCTATCCTGTCCATCAAAATTATTCATCCCTATGTAAATGATCTAAAAAACATCTGGCAATATTGAAGAAAGCTCTATCCAGTTTAGGTTAAAAATATTCCTGCTTACCAGTGGTAATGTCATCATCCACAAGGTCATGCTCTTCCTCTTGGACTTTGGTTTCTGGCCCTGAGGCATCAGGAGCAGAGGTGATAGTTTGCATGGCTTCTGCTGTAACTCCAGCTAAAACAAATAGAAATCACATAGTTTAAAAAAAAAAACAGAGAGAGAAACAGTAGGCTAAACTTGTAAAACTTTTTACTCACTAAATGCAAATACATTAAAAATTAAATACGAAACATTCACCAAAACGGAAGAGGAACAAATCAATGCATAAAATATTCATATGTGCTATTTATTTATATGCATCTGTATACATGGGTATATTTACTTTTAATAAAGTTCTGGGGGAAAAAAAAGATGTTGGAGTCAATTACATCTTTACTTAATTCCTTTCATCCATGTTTTTGCTAGTTATTCTAACTGATTTAGGCACAATTATGCAACAAAGAGGAAAAAGTGAGAGTATTTTAAAGGTTTACTTCTCTTTAATATTAGTTTGTTTATGAGTTGGGGGTTAGGTAGGAAGGATAATGACAAAAGAGATACTTATGCCCTGAGTCTAAACTAGAGATGTGAAAATGCACTCCCCAAGAAGAGTATCACATTTCCCTCAAAGAGGGAGTTACAGATAAAGTCAGAAAACTATCATATAGAAAGAAATTAACTGCAAGCGCACAAGCGGAAAACATCATGGGGCCAAAGGCTCCCATTCTGTAAATTACCTGAATTTACAGAATGTTGCTAGTTCACACAAATGTCTTTTCCCCACACAATCTCGCGTTTCTAATGATATGCTCTGTCATTAATATGCATCTACCACATTATTTTTAATTTGGCAATGAATAGTAGTATGTATGAATTTTTTCTTATGGTTATCAACAGATATTGCTCAATCATAGCATATAAAATTCTCACTATTAAAGTTTACTTAGAAGTTAAATCTTCTAATCAAATCTTCTTAAGAGGCACTTTAATGTTGGCCTATACAAGACATATTCAAATATGTTTAAAAGAAAACATTATAAATATTCAGAGTATTCTTTTCTTCCAAGGTATAGGAACTTGCACAGTTGCATGTAAAGTTCATCACAGCTGTCTCAGGTTTGCCAAAAGCATCAAAAGGTGAGGAATTCTAGTTATTAACCCCCAAAATGGGCTGACCAGCAAACGGTTCCAAGCCCTAGCAACTTCATATGAAGAACATAACATATTATTTTAGCATCAACACTTGTTCAGAGATGTTATTAAATAAAAAAAGAATAATACTAATAAGTGATCCCTGATGAGTAGCAAATGATAAGCCACCTCTTCGCAGAAGCATTTTTACTGTGAGATTTACAAAATGTGTTAACATGAAGGAGATTTACTAGGAAATCAGTATTAAGTTAATTACTTAATTAAAGAGATCTATCAGTAAAATAATCACAAAGAGAATGTAATAGGAAGGTAAATGTCACATTCTAAATTAGAGATGTTGTTCAAATACAAACTCAAAGATCATTTTTTCATATAATTAAATTAAAATATAAACTTTAAAATATCTGCTCTAATTCTTTATAATACTTGATAATTTTGAAAGGGACAAGAGAAATAAGAAAAAGATATTAAGGAACAATTTCTATGGTAACAACAATTGTTAGTATTTTCTTATAAAATTAAGACAGCCAATGAAAATAAAGTGACATCAAGGGATAACATGTTTGCAAATCCATTTACATTTATCTTATTTAATCACAGGGCTAAGGAATTGTGCAACATAACACAGCTACAGCATAGAGATGCAGATTTTGTGACTTCAAACCCCAAATCTTTTTACCACCATTTCCTTCCATGACTGAGTGACCTGCAGAAGGGAAGGTATTATAGAACATCACAGCATAATCATGGAAAATCATATGATACTGAGCGGAAATACTACATGTCCTCCATGGAGTTTCTATACTGTGTCAAGTAGCTATTCCACTGAGAGGATTCAGTAGTTTAGGATAAAGCTTAAAGAGCAAATTGTGTATTTCAAAGTACCTGAGCATGAAAGACAAGCTATGCTGAAACTAGATCTTTGGCAGATGTTTTCCAAAACAAACTAAGGGTTATAAAATCCTCGACAGAAAAACAAAACAACTACAGACCGGTATTTTCCAAAAAGATAGTCTCAAACATCTTTAATGAAATGTAAATAAGCAGAACTCAGCACTTATAAAAAAATTATATATTATAGCCAAGTAGAGTTTATTTTGAGGAAATAAGTGTGGTTTACTGTATTTTATAAAAGATAATCAGTGTAACTGAAAATATTAATAGGCTAAAGAAGAAAATATCACATCTATCTTTGACAAAACTTAAAAGCCAACCTTGATTATTTTTAATTCAGGAAAAACATGAATAGAGGACAATTTACTCAACTTGATAAAGAGTATGTGCTAAAAATGTAGCACTAACATTTACGCTGATGAAAATCTAAATGCTTTCATCCTACGATCAAAAATAGGTAAATATGTCCACCCTCACCATTCTTTCTTTACAATTTCCCAACGAAACAATTCAAGAAAATGAAATAAAACATATAAACAAAAGAAAATAAAGCATATAATGTTTGGAAAATATAACTTGTCCAAATGTGATATTTAAGATTCAGAGATACAGTATTTAGGTAGTTGGCAAAGTATTTCACTTGTACTGAGCAAAGACACTGGCTTTGTTGGGTCTTTAACTTGCAAATCTATCATCAAACTTTTCACCTTCTACAATTACATGAGTCAATCTCTTATCCATCAAATTGGTTGTATCTCCTTGAAAAACCCTGACTTCTATATCCTATTCAATGATAAAATACTTATTTGCATGGAAAATCTCAGAGGAATCTTTAAAACAAAGCAAAACAAACAATGAAACAAAACTAACAAAACTAATAATTGACTTTAGAAAGGCTACAGAGCAATTAGACAAGAGAAAGAAAGAAAAGAAGTAACGGTCGGAAAGTAAGAAGTCAAATTATTATCTGCAGATTACATGATACTCTACATAGAAGACCCCCCCCAAAACTCCAAATAAGCAAATTCAGTAGCATAACTGGATAACAAGTCAACACTCAAAAATCAATAGTCTTCCTGTAAACAAATAACAAACTCACTGAGAGAAAAATTAGAGAAACATCTTTCACACTACCATCCAAAAAGATGAAATACCTAAGAGTCAATCTAATAAAGGGTGTAAAAGACCTCTACGTGGAAAATTACAGTATTCTGAAAAAGGAGATTGAAGTGGATATCAAAAAATGGAAAGATATACCTTGCTCTTGGGTAGGAATAACCAATACAGTGAAAAGGCTATATTTCCAAAACTGTTATAGTGATTTAATGCAATTCCAATCAAAATTCCAATAGCATATCTCACAAAATTAGAGAAAATAATCCTAAAATTCATTTAGAACCAGAAGGAACCTAGAATAACAAAGGCAATTCTTGGAAACAAAAGCAAGGCAAGGGGCACTACAATCCCTGACTTGAAATTATAGTCTAAAGCTACTGAGATAAAAACTGCAGGGTATTGGCAAAAACAAAAATCATACCTGAAGATCAATGGAACAGATTAGAAGATGTAGAAACAGAAATACTCAGTCACCTTTTCTTTGACAAAGGTGCCATACACATTCACTGGAAAAAAGATAGCCTCTTTAATAAATGGTACTACAAAAACTGACTCTGCACATGCTAAACATTAAAGTTGGACTCATATATTTCACAAAGCACTAAACTAAATTTGAAATGGATCAAAGATCTAAATATTAAAACAGAAACATTAAATATGCTAGAAGATAGAATAGGTAAAACTCTTGAAGACATTGGTGTAGGCAAAGACTTCATGAATAAAACCCCCATAGCTCAGGAACTGTCACAAAGATTCAACAACTAAGATCTCACCTTATTAAAAAGGTTTTACACAGCAAGAAAAATGACCAACAGAGTGAAGAGACAACTCACAAAGTGGGAAAAAGTGTTCACCAGTTGTTCCTCAAAGTATTACTACTGATAACACATAAAGTACTCAGAAAAATTAGACCTCCCAAATTTAAAGACCCAAAAAGGGCATCTGAGATGTATATACACTTCTCAGATGAAAAAATACAAATGCAAATAAATATATGAAAAAATGTCCAACATCACTGGTCATTGGACAGATGTAAATTAAAACAACACTGAGATTCCATCTTACCCCAGAAAGAATGGCTATCATCAAGGAATCAACCAATAACAAATGCTGGGGCTATGAGGGAAAAGGAACCCTTCTCCACTGCTGATAGGAGTGTAGACTTGTGCAACCATTGTGGAAGTAAGTGTGGAGATTCCTCAAAAACTAGGATTGGAGGTCCCATTTGACCCAGCTATTCTCCTGCTGGGTATGTTCCCAGAAGAATTAAAGACATCGTACCACTGCAATATATGTACACCAATGTTTACAGCAACACAATTTGTAATAGCTAGATCTTGGAAACAACCCAAATGTCCATGAACCAAGAAATGGAAAAAAAAGACGTGGTCTTTTTGTACAATGGAGTACTGCTTAGCCATAAAGAAGGACAAATTGGAGACTTTTTATAGGTAAATGGATACAACTAGAGACCATACTCATAAGTGAAATAAACCAGATTTGCATGTGCAAACATTGAATTGCCTCCCTAGTATGAGAACCTGAACGAGTAAACAAAATCCAAAATGTAAAATAGATATTGTAAAATGGGAAGAAACTGTTCAAAAAGAAAGAGAAACTGGGATGGGGAAAGGAGAAAAGAAGGAAGGGAAAATAAAAAATAAATATATATTTAAATCTTATATATATGTATATATACTATCTTGTATATATATATACATACCTATATATATTGACATATATTGTATATATATACCTATACAAGGTATATGTATATATACATACCTATATATATTGATATATATATATTGTGTATATATATACCTATACAAGATAGTTAAGATAGTTATACTACTAATTTCTCTTAGTTCATTGAAAAGAAAGATTTGTGCTAATATTGTTTGGACAATTAAATGCTAATATCTTGTACTCTGAATAACTAATTTAAAGAACAATATGCAATGTATTAACCA